AAGAAAGAAAGAAAGAAAGAAAGAAAGAAAGAAAGAAAGAAAGAAAGAAAGAAAGAAAGAAAGAGAGTTTTGAATCCCTCTGAGAGTTCAGCTCCCATTCCTTGTTGATTGCGGAGACACCCAAGGGGGAAAAATTGTGTTTTTTAAAAAAGAAACCGGGTGGATTTTCCTCTTTTCTCTTTCAATTATTGTAATGTGGAGCCAAAGCATGCACAAAACTTTCCCAAAAATAATTTTTAAAAAGTCTTTTTTCTAAATTGGATGATTGTTTGGATAACTGAGATTCTCTTCTATTCTGGACTCTTTGCATAAAAGAGCAGGGGAAATGAAATTTCGACTTTGGGTTTTGACCATTAATTATTACAGAAATGGCTAAGGGTTATTATTTGGCACAACTAAAAAAGTTGATAATATATTTTCTTACAGGACTTTTCAAAGTCCCTGCTTTTTGTTTCTTTTTTTTTAATCTCTTTTTATTTTCACTTCTTTCTTTTTGGGGGGGATGGTGGTTCAGTGGCTGAGATGCCGAGCTTGTCGGCTCAGGTTTGAGACCTGAATGCCATGTGACGGGTGAGCTCCTGTCTTCACCTCAGCGCACGCTCAGCTAGCAGTTTGAAAGCATGCAAATGTCAGTAGATAAATAAATTGATAGTATGAAATTCAAAATAACATGAATATCAATGTAAACCAAGGAATCTCCCAAAATGATTAACACAGAAATAATTTTGGCCCCAAAGGGAGTCACTATATCTATAGCATATCCTTATACCTTATACTTTGATAGAGAGGAAAGAGAGAGAGGAGAGAGAGAATGAGAAAGAGAGAGGGAGAAGGAGAGAGGGGGGGAAGAGAGAGAGAAGGAGAGAGGGAGAAAGGGAGAGAGGGAGATAGAGAATGAGACAGAAAGAAAGAGAGGAGAGAGAGAGAAGGGGAGAGAGGGGGAAAGAGGGAGAATGAGAGAGAGAGAAAGACAGGGAGAGAATGAGACAGAAAGAAAGAAAGAGAGAAAGAGAGAGAATGACAAAGAGAGAAGGGGAGGGGAGAAAGAGAGAGAGAGAATGAGGCAGAAAGAAAGAGAGAGAGAATGAGAGAGATTGGGAAAAAGAGAGAGAAGGGGGAAGAAAGAGAGAAAGAGAAAGCGTCAGAGAGAGAGGGAGAGAGAAAGAGAGAGACAGGGTGAGAGAGACAGACACACACAGAGAGAGGAAGGGAGGGAGAAAGAGTGAGGGAGATAGAGATAGATAGATAGAGAGACAGAGAGAGACAGACACACACACAGAGAGGAAGGGAGGGAGAAAGAGAGAGAGAGAGAGAGAGAGAGAAAGAAAGTGTGTGTGAGAGAGAGAGAGAGAGAGAGAGAGACAGACAGACAACACACACACAGAGGAAGGGAGAGAGAAAGAAAGAGAGAGAGAGAGAGAAACACACACAGACAGACAGACACACAGAGAGAGAGAGGGAGTGAGAGAGAGACAGACACACACACACAGAGGGAGAGAGAATAGCGAGGGAGAGAGAGGGGGGGTAAGGGACACACACACAAATACACACACAAACACACACAGAGGAAGGAGGGAAAGGGACGGAGGGAGAGAGAGAGAGAGACTTTTAGCATATGCCTTGGTGCAATGCCACACCAGGTAAAACCAACTAGGGAGGTCAGAAAAGTCAAGATGGTGGCTCCCAACCAGGGCTTCAAAGCCCACCTCTTTTTGATACGCATGTTACCCACTGCCTCCATTTCTAAGGAAGCCGCCTTC